TTTTTGTTTTTTTTTGTTTTTTTTTTTTTTGTTTTGTTTTCGATTCGGGATCTACGACAGATGTGTTTAGATAATCTTTTCTGAAGAATCCTTTTGTTTTGTTTTGAAGGTCCCTATATGCTACTTTGATAATATGTACTTTGCATTTACATAGATTAACGTGTCTAACTTCGTATATTAATTTTTTGAGATTCTTGACGTTATATTAGTTTTTCGATATCCTTTTTTGAATTTGCATATCGATACTTTTTTTTATTTTGCTCTATTTACACGACAGTCTTCATTATTTTCTCATGCAACATATCTGATTGTTATAAAAAACGTCACGAGCAACGGATGAATCCTAGAGAAAGCAAATGACAAAAATAGTTGGAATGACTTAACGATCTTACAAATCGTAAAAGGAAAAAGAAAAACGGAACGAATTCACACTTCCGATGAAACAGAAATCGTTGGAGATCTGTGACCCTAGGTTGCGAGCCTGTTCCTAAAACGCGTCTCGTTCCAATCGAACAACCCCGTTATTCCGCCCCTGTTTTAGCTTTGTAAGAACACGACGAGCTTGCGACACTCTTTTCCTTCTTTAACACCACCGAACGAAAAAAGATAATCTTGTAATTACGTCACAGCAATTCTATAGTTTCTTTTTCTTTTTTTTTTTTTTAATAATCGTCAAATGCGCGATCTTTTTTTTTTCCATTTCTTGTTTTCCCCCGTTCGATGCGAGTACAGAGTGTGTTCGATGTTTTTATTCAATGTCACGCATCATCTCAGCGAACCTGATCTCGACCTATACGTTCCGCGATTACCGATAGACATTTCAAGCTTGCGCCGAGAAGAAATTCAGAGACTCAGCGTCTCTCCGTGACGAGAATTCACTGCCAGATTTAAATACCGCACGCGTTCGGCGATCAACTCGCATCGATCGCATATACATAGTACTGTTGTTTTCTACTACTTTGATACATTTCGTCAGTTGTTTTCCCGATCTTTTCGTTCGAAGTATAGCAACGCAATAGACATACCACTGATATACCTCAGGCACCGCATACACCGCTCGAAACAGCATGTGTAGCTTTTTTTTTTCTTTTTTAAATCTCGCTCACGGCAGAAGAGAATGAAAAAAAAAAAGAAGAAGAAGAAGAGAGGCATGAAAAAGAAAACAAGACGGATGCAACAAACCACACTTTCTGCGTTACTTTTTAAACCTAGCACGTAAAAAACATGATTTTTAATCGGTAGGTGCGCGATCGGTTGTACCAGGCGAAGATGAATTCGCCTCGGTAAGACGAACTTTGTACATATCCCATTGTGCGCGGTGTGACGCACGGTCGATTGAAAAATAAAGTATTAATATTTTATACAGTCGTAAAATACAGTCTTATTTACTTCTTATTTATTTAATAATAAAAAAAAACCAACATCCTTCGAATACTTTAAGTTTGTATAATTAAAAATACCTATTGACCAATTCAAATTTAATTCCAACATTCCATCATAGGGGCGCTGGTGTCGTGCAGTTAAAAATGGTTATGTTACCTAATAAAGTAGTTACCCGGAAACGTAGATGTTTCTACGAATATCGCGATTTAAAAGGAAAGAAAAAGTTAATAAATACTTTGTCAATGAATATTACCAAGAATTTCGTTTCGATTACGAATCGTACAGGTTAAATGAACTAAAAGACTTTGTAGATCACTGACTGAATGATTACTTATTTTTACTCATTGTTGTCCTCAATTGATCGCGGAATGCATTTCGTGCAAGTGACTCAGAATCGTAAGGTAAATACTATTAATATATTGTGTTTGCGTATAGAGAACAAAGATCTGAAACGATACTGTTAGTATTTACTTACGCGACAATTACTTTTGTGGACGAAGTTAAATTTGTATACCTCTGGCTAGAAATCTTATTGGTGGAGTAGCATCATACCATTTTATTTACAAAACGAGCCTCCTAACTGCGACAGCTGCTCTTTTATATAAGTAGAATCAGATGTCGTCTATTTAGTTGTTCGAAACTGTTCAGTGAATGAACTCACGACGAAATAACCTCAAATGATGGATGAAAGAAAATAATAGTATTGATTAAGATAATAGTATTGATCAATAAAAACTATTACAGAAACTTGACAAACTTGAAAACGAGTGGAGTTCTCAGTGAATCAATAATCAGTTAGCGCGATAAGGTTTTATTGTTCTCACATCACCTTTGTCGTTTGTAAAACGAAACGAATTAAGAATGACACGAAACGTTATAAAATATTATCAAAGTGTCAAATATTATCAACGATTTATCGTCTTATCGAGGTAAAGTGTAAAATATTAAGTCACATCTTCTCGTTTGTCGTTATTGCGAAAAATCATTCCTAGTTTTCTGCTATTTTGTATTTATATAATATGACGTATAACATACGTTTGTTTGTGTTCGTGCTTAATCTAATGCAAATGCACGTAATATATAAATGTACTGTTAGGCTTACATTCAAATTAATAATAGTTACGCTTGTTGAATAAATGTCTGCTTCATGAAAATTCGATGACAAGTTACCAAATCGTTTTGCAGCATGCCTTTCAATGGCTGTACTCGCAATGAATTAATTAGTTTCATTGATTTTACTTATTTACTGCTCTGAAACAATTTTCGGAGGCTATTTATATTAAATTAATTTGTCAACGCTTTGCAATTTGATTGTAATGTTTTGCTTTCGATGAAAGTGTATTATTACATTGTAGTAAAATATATGTAAAATGATTTTGTATTTGCAGACAGTTCACAGATAGTGCTACGGGTAAAGGGTACAGTGGAAGCGTTAACAAAAATAAATTGTTAAAACGTCTGAACGGTTTATGGAAAACGAAAATGACTATGCAAAGTCATTCAAAACTTTTAATGCAATTAAAGGACCACTTAAGCAAAGCTGGTTATGATAAAAATCTACAAGTCATATTTTCCAAACATTGGCTAGATTTCTTGGAAAGGGTGACGTATTCGCAAATGAATGCTTTGAAAAAATTATCGGCACTCGAATTTTCGAAGAATGAAAATGATAATAAAACAGCAGATATAGAAAAATGTGATAGTAGTCAAGTAAAAAGAGAGAATATAATAGTGGAACATAAAGGAAAAAAAATAATATCTATCGATAGTATTCAATGTAAAAAGGTAAGTGACATGTTTTAAATAATATGCAATAAGTCTTATAAAAAAATTTAATTTTTATATTTATCTTCAACGATTTATGTAGCCAGTTGTTGAAGATAAAGCAAGCGAAACTAAAGTTCAAGCCAAAGCGGCATCGCAAAGTATTTCTGATTTTTTTGGTGGACTGATATTTAACTCTGTACAAAGTAAAACAGCCAGATTAGTTGTACCGCCAAAGTGGAAAATAAATATTCATGAAAATATTTCAAAACACGGTATTACATCTAGAACACGCCATGTCTTGAATGCTATAGTAACAGCTGAATCAACTGCTTCACGTTGGAGAAGGATTGAAGATTTATTAGTACACATTGATCAATATCCAGAAGCCAGACATTATGCGATTAAGGAAGGAGCAATAAAAATATTGCTTAAAACTAGACAAAAAGTTAGAGATGATCAAACCAAAGGTATGACAATGATTTAAAGATAGTGAGTAAAAGAGAGTATTTTTAATATTTTGAATGTTCTTAAACTTCAATTCAGCATCTATTAGAGAAGCTTTAGCAATATTGGGTTATGTCGAACCACTTCCTGGCAAAGGTATTAGAATTCTTTCCATTGATGGCGGGGGTATGCGTGGAGTATTAGTTATAGAAATGTTAAAAAAGCTTGAGCAATTGACAGGCAAGAAAACTCATGAAATGTTTGATTACATATGTGGTGTGAGTACAGGAGCTATTCTTGCTGCTGCTTTAGGTATGTATAATACATTCTTAAAATATTCAAAGATCTAACAGTTTTAGTGAGAATTATGTTGTTTGTAGGTGGACATAAACGAAAATCATTATTCGAAATATCCGAATTATACAGGGAACTAAGTACTAAAGTGTTCACTCAAAGTGCAATAAAAGGTACAAGTAATTTGGTATGGAGCCATGGATATTATGATACAGCATTATGGGAAAAATTACTGCAAGAAAATTTAGGGGAAAAAATTCTTATAAAAACAGTTCGTGATCCTGCTGCTCCAAAAGTATTTGTTATTTCTTACTAATATACAAAATATTACATTATTCTCTCAAGTATCGTTATATTGTATATATAGTAGTTATTTTAGTTTTCAGCTATATCTGCTATTGTAAATAAGGAACGTGTAATGGCCTATGTATTTAGAAATTATACTTTGCCTCATAGGATTGAAAGTTTGTATGTAGGATCTCACAAGCACAAATTGTGGGAAGCCATTAGAGCATCCGCAGCAGCGCCTAGTTATTTTGAAGAATTTAAATGCGGTGGATATCTGCATCAAGATGGAGGTACAGATTAATATATTTCATAAAAATCGAATATTTCGGTAGCATGAGAAACAAGATTTAAATACTTAAATGTTTTAATTTTATGTAGGTATACTAGTGAATAATCCATGTGCAGTTGCATTACACGAAGCCAAACAATTATGGCCAAATAGCCCAATTCAGTGTGTGGTTTCATTTGGAACTGGGCGAACGCCGTATCAAATCAATGACACTAGCAGTAAAATGGCAGAAATAGCGACTTCAAGTTGGAAGGATAAGTTTTATAAAATTCTAGATAGCGCAACTGATACAGAAGGTATTAATTTATAAAATTACTTGTAAAATATTTCATCATATTGTATGGAATATATATTTAAATGTCAATGATGTACTATGCAGCTGTACATACTACGTTAAACGACCTTCTACCTGAATACGTTTACTTTCGCTTTAATCCATATTTAACGGAGATGTTGTCAATGGTAGAAATACGTCCTGAGAAAATCAGTCAACTAGAACAAGATGCAAAAATGTATATACGTAGAAATGAAGAAAAATTTCAGAGAGCTGCTGAAGTTTTATTAGAGAAAAGAAAAATACAACAAAAAGTAATGGATTGGATTGCGCTACAAAGAAAAATTTCGGGTGTATGAATTATCGTATCTTACAATTCAACAGGCATTCCACTTATATACATACATATATCATGAGAACATGTTTGTCACAAAACTGTAACTAGGTATGTAATATAATTCTTATTGAGTTTAAATTCTATTTAGTCTTTAATGTAATAAACATATTATGTTTATTTATACTTGTTTATATAAATATTATATTATAAATAATTTTCTGTAAAAGGTAGTAATTTATTTTATGTAGGAGATATACTGTTTGTGATCTCTGTGACATACGCAAGTTTAAATGAAAGATGAATGTTAAATGATAAAGCATAATAAAGTTATTTATAATACATATTTACTATTCTATTTAACTTAATATTACATAAATACACTAATGACTTTTTTAATATTATCTTTTATAAATGAGTACATATTATTTTAATGTGCAGTAGCAGTACAGTATTTTGGCATGTGTGCGTATGTCTAGAGACTTAAAATATCAAATGATTGTTATTTATATAAATAATAGGTCTATAAATAACAGTGATTCCTACCTCAGGTATAATTATCATTAAATCACTAGTCTTAATGCTAGTCTGTGTATATCTCACATAATTTGTGAATATACTAGTATGAAAATATCTTTATGAAAAGTGATTATATGTATAAATGTGATTATATACATAAATCTTATAATATTTATATGTTGCTTATTTTAAAGAACACTATAAAACACTTTTAACATTGTTTTAACTTTTTCACGGATCAAATTTTCAGGTTGATTGATTAAGATATTGTAAAAAAAATGTATGTTATAAAAATGTGAAAAATATATATATGATAAATGTATAACTAAACATATAATATATATTATTATTCCTCATTGTTTGTTTTTAAAGATCATATTTCAAATTTTGAATTAAATTTCAAAGAACGGAAGCAGTAGAAAACAAAATTGCATTTGGCGCTACTATCGTTTTCTTTTTACTTTGGACTTCCTCTTCCGTGTACTTCGAGTAAAACTCACGTAGGTTTGTTATAAATTTATTATATCCAAATAATCTTTTACTTAATTAATATAATTATATTAATATATTATTTTATACGATAGAATAAAAGTAATTTGTATTAATTTCTCAATTTAATTCTCGATATAGTTTGGTCTTGAGAGAAATCTATAACCTCAATCTATAACCTATATTGTTTATGTTATATATTATAATTAACGAAGATTATTATTCTTTCAGATTAACTAACAGAGAAAAATGGCAAAGTCCAAGAATCATACCAATCATAATCAAAGTGAGTGTAAATAATTATGTAACACGAAATTGAAATTCATTAATTTTAAAGTGTAAAGTACAAATCATACTGCTTGATATTTTTTTTTGTAGATCGTAAAGCTCATCGTAATGGCATCAAAAAACCAAAACGTTACAGGCATGAATCTACGCTTGGTGTAAGTTTTAAATTTTTTAAATAATAATTTTGTTCTTTCTAATTATAAGTTTTTTACTTTCTAAGTAAAACTTAATGTACTTTCTACATTACGTTATCAAAATATTTTCTTCTATGCTCATGTTATTAAGAAGTTCCTTTTGTGAGATTAAAATTTACTTTATCAATAACATTGTTTAATTAAATAGTATATGATTTTAAGATATTTGACATCTTTTTTCAGATGGATTTAAAATTCTTGAGGAACCAACGCTTTGCAAAGAAGCACAATTTGAAACCCAAAGAACAATTAAAGAGGGCAGAGAAACGTAAAGCCCTTCGTGAAGCTAAGAAATAGTTTTCTCATATATAAATGATTTTATTATAATAAAAATTCTAAGAATTTAATTTGGTAATTTTATTTATTTTATGGTTCCTTTAATATAATTTGCAATTAATATACATACTCAATTCTCTCTTTTTATAGCTGAAATACTGTATCCTTTTATAAATGTTCACTTCAAACTTTTTTTTCTTGAATTAGCATTTTGATTTTGTTTATTTACATTAACTTGATCAATTTTTTCTGTATGTTAGTTTCTCATTTTGTATTAAAAGTTAGAAGTATTTAAAAATTTAATAGAAAAATTATATTAATACGGATATGTGCATTTATAATAACATTAATAAATGTATGTACGTTATGTATATAGAAAGAAAATTATCTAAATAGAAACGACTGTAATTTAATTCCTAAGTACCTAAATATACCTAATATTTTTAATTTTAATGATTAACAAAAATAAACAATTATTTATATAAAGTAACAAATTTTGATATTTTTGAATGAAAAAAAGTCTTTTGGTACTGTCTTTTGATACTTAAATTTTATATCTTTAAATGATTACAGTGCAAATTCAATATGGCGACTGATCAGTTTACCGGCGATTCTGAAATAAGCCATAAAAATTCATTCAGACCACAAATAATTTTATTATTTAGTGGCAAGAGAAAGTCTGGAAAGGATTATATTACAAATGCTTTGCACGAAAGGTGATCAGTTTTCGATAATTATAAAATAACTAAGAATGATATAATTTAAGGTCATATGTTGATAATAGTTTTTTCAATGTAGAGTTGGATCTGATAAGAGTGTTATTATAAGATTATCTGGACCAATTAAATTTCATTGGGCTAAGACCCGTGGTTTGAACGTTGATGAACTTTTAGGAGATGGTAAATACAAAGAGAGTTATCGCCTTGAAATGGCAAAATGGGGAGAAAACATTAGGAAAGAAGATTATGGTTATTTTTGTCGCGCGGCCCTAGAAATGTATAATGGTAGAAAATTATTTTGCATTATAATTTATTATTAACATATTACATGATACTGTATGACAATTTGTTTTAGCAAACAATTTTGTTTAGCATTTAGCAAACGTATATGGATAGTGAGTGATGCCCGAAGGAAAACTGATATACAATGGTTTGTAGAAAATTTTGAAGATATATGTAAAACAATTCGCATTGAATCAGATGATTTAGTTAGGAACAAACGTGGCTGGGTGTTTAGTCCAGGTAAATAAAAGAGAAAACTAATATGATTATCCTTACATGAATTATATTATTAATTGTGAGATATATGTTACAGGTATTGACGATTCAGAAACTGAATGTAATTTGGATGATATAAATACATGGGATTTGAAAGTGACGAATAATACTGAAGATATAAACTGTATATTAGAACAAATATTAAAACTAATTACTTAGTAAATGATATTGCAAATGTACAAAATAATGTTATAAGTATGTATATATACGTACTTGTAAACAATGAATTGTTTTTAATGGGTCTATAAAGAGGAAGGCAATAATATATGTTGTTTACAAACGGATATATTTTTTATTAATTTTTTATTTACACATTTGATTCTTGTGCATTGTATTCATGTATTGATTAAGTATCAAATAGATATTATAGTGTATCACAATGTAAATTGATCTCTCATAATTAGACAATTTATTTAAAAATTTGTTTTGTTGGTTTAGACATTACAGGATTATTGTTACTAATTAATAATTGATTATTAATCATTCAAATTTCTTTTAAAAAGTACATATAAATGTTCTCAAAGCATAATTTGTGTAAAATTAATTTAGCAATGCTAAAAGTTTAAGAATTAATCGTGAGTAAGGAGAAATTAATAAATATTTTATCGTGAACTCGATTTAGTTTGAAACTCGTTCCAGTACAATATGGTGGTCTCTATACTATTGAAGGAGGTTAGATGGCATGCACCAATAAAAAAAAAAGAAAGAAAAAGAAGAGAATGGAATGGCGAACTGGATTTGGATCGTCAACATTAATATGTGAATTGTGATTATATACGATGATTGTGTGTGCATTTTGTGGTTAAAAGATTACGCTTTAAAAGAAGACATTGTGGTCGTGTGATTAATTTCGGAAATGGTGGATCATTCAATACCATCCGATATCCTCGACGATTTAAGCAGGTTAGTTTTTGAACTTAATTTTCGGAGACATTCTTTTTATACAATTATTTAATTTTGTTCATGTTGTTTCATTTTGTATTGAAAATATTACGCGATTTTGGTATTTTCAGTCGATTTATCATCAATGTACCTGAAGAAGAAAGGAGAGATTTGATTCGAATATGCTTTCAAGTCGAACTGGCTCACTGGTTTTATTTGGACTTTTATTGTACGGATGAAAATCCAAAGTTGAGACCATGTAGCATGAGAGAATTCACTTCTCGTATTTTTTTTCACATACCATTTCTAAAGCCTCATCTAGGTAATGTAGATAGCATTCTTGAACAATGGCGCGCCTATAAACAAAACGTTCCAACCTTTGGAGCAATTGTATTGAATGAGGATTTAACCAAAGTGCTACTTGTTCAAAGTTATTGGGCAAAAAGTAGTTGGAGCTTTCCTAAGGGCAAAGTCAATGCTGATGAAGATCCATCTCGTTGTGCCGTTCGGGAAGTTTTGGAGGAAACTGGTTTTGATATTTCAAATTTGATAGATGAAAATGAATACATTGAGTCAACAATAAACGAGCAATTAGTAAGATTGTACATAATATGCGGTGTGCAGAAAGATACGAAATTTCAACCAAAAACAAGAAAAGAAATAAAAAATGTCGAATGGTTCTCTCTTGCGGATTTACCTAATAGTAAGAAAGATATGACTCCAAAACTAAAGACAGGAGTTGGTCCAAATGCATTTTTCATGGTTATCCCTTTTGTAAGGTAATGAATTACTTTTCCTTAAAGATATAATGTATACATTACATATATTGTCCATTATCTTCTTTTTTACATTATGTCATGTCCTTGTTTATGTATACAATTTATATAATTATAATTATGTTAGTGAGAAAAGTAATTAATTTAGATAAAAGGTATATTGAAGATATATTTTAAAAGTGTAATTTTTCTATTGTAATTTCCAAATAGAAGGATGAGGCGTTGGATACAAGAAAAACATTTACGTGATAAAAATACAAACGCCATACGAAGACACAGACATAAATCTGTGGGTGATGTAGAAAGTGTTCCAAAGAATAAACGGCAATTACTTCCTAATTCTGTTCAAGTAATTAAATCATCCATCGCCCAATTTCCATGTGAAAATAATATTAATGTAATCTTGTAACTGTTTCTAGAGTGATGTTCCAAGCTTCAAAGATATGAAAAACTTCCGACAATCTAATACATCGCCGGCAAGAAATCGACGTATACATGAGTGTAAAAATGTTATGTCCAAAGCAGCGATTAAACGTAACCTATTTGGAGATCAAAATGAAGATGAAACATCAGCTGTACTTGCCAAACAATTAACTGATAGTCCGCAAAATCAACAAGCATGTCCATTTTTAATGGATCCAGCTATTCAGTCGGTAAAATGTAACGAATTTAGCTACAAAGCTCAAGTTTTAGCAAAAGGTTTGATACTTAATGTTATAATTAGAATTGATTATAAGTCAATTTAAGAGTTTATTTACTAATATAAAGAAAATGTTTTTTGTTTTGCAGATCAAGCATCTCAAGAACCTCGAAATCCAAAATTTCCAGATGGAAATATAAAATCTTTATTATTTGGGAAAGCAGCAAATAAATTGCAAACAGATTTAAAAGTTATACCTTCTCCTTTTACGGTAATGACTAACAGCGCATCGCGTTTCTTTCCAATAGATAAAATCGAAGCCCAAGAACATTCCATGGAATGTTGTTCAATGATTTGGGCAAACTTTAAATTTGACAAGCAAGCAATACTTGATTGTTTATAAAATTATTTAAAATAATTTTAGAAAATGTGGAATCATACTCAGTAAGCTTACGTTAGTTATATTACATTTTTATAATATTTGTATAAGTTCAAATGGATGATAGTGTACAAAGATTTACAATTAAATGTGATTTTAAATATTTGTGATCTCAACAGTTTCTTAGCAAACTGGTTTTTCAAACTTATCGAGTTAACGGAGTATTAAATATACATTATTATACATTATTAATTTTTAGTTAGACATTTAAAAATTTTTTTTCTTTTTGTTATCATCTATCCGACATATTACTACAATGCAATGCAACAGACTATTATACAGAAGTACAATACAAATACGCTTACATAATACATGATAAAAATCATCGGAATAATGTACGTATTCATGTATGTTTTTTACTTTCACTAGGTACTTATTTTTTATATAAGAGAAATATGTGTACATTCAATTTTATTTTTATTCAACAAAATGTGAAATAATCTATATTTAATTTTTTTAATTTATTTTACAACCAGGTTATTCAAATATTCTACTACATTTGAATATTTATATGTACATGCGTTGAATGTTTAACGAAAGATATGTTTGGTTCAAGTTTAAAAACAATTTTCGTACAAATAAAATAGAAATTCCTATTCAAAATGGATATATATACACATCATACTTTTCTCATAGCTATAAAAAGAGCTAAGAGAAATATCATAATGGGAATAACGAAATACATTGTTTTTTTAATAAGAATAGTGCCTGCACCTTTTATACTTCTTATAATTTCATTATTCAAGGTAAACACCATTTTGCTTTCTTCAATAAGTTTATTTTTTGTATCTTCGTCCAATGTTTCCGCAATACTATTCATAGTATCGCGCATATTTCGTTTAAGTTCGTAAATATTACTGTTCCCAAAATCTGTAATATTATTAACAATTGTTTGAGATTCTTTAAACGGCCAAATCTTTTGCATAACTTGTCTCTTTTTGCGTAAAATAATTCCACCACTTAGGAGACCCATGTACAAGTGATAAATGTACGCAAGCAATAAAATGGGCTCCGTATTTTCGATTTCTTTTAAATGATTTAAATATTTCGTTACACTCTCCCTAAAATTTGAAAGATCATCAAACATCAAATATAAATCAAATCTTAAATCGAAGATCTATTGCTTTTGTAAATAGCTTACGAGTGTTTTTGTCTGAGTAACCGATACGATATTAATTACATATCAATTCTGTTTAAATGAACAAATATAAACTCTGTACAAAAGAAATTACCTAGGATTGTAATTTTTTGCCCATTCTTTTCCTAGATAAAATTCAAGATCACGCTCAAACGCCTCGGTACGACGAAGTTCGTCTTGTAAAAGCGACCCTACTTTTGTATGTTTCCATCTGATCATAGCAAGTTCCAAATATCGAAAAATTTCATAGAAAATCAGAAGGCCATCAGTCCACACGGTATCATCAAGAAATCCTATTTAAAATCGAGATTTCCTATGTTAGTTTTATTTAAACTTTATGTAATCTATCATTAGTTTATTGCACAATGATCTTAGAGTAAATATTCGTTGCGTTACTTAATAACAGAATTAATATAGAATTTGTTATTCAGATATAAATATAGAATTTGTTATTCAGATATAAATATAGAATTTGTTATTCAGATATGAATATTGAATTAGAGAAAATATGAAGAATTTAATCAAATGTTACATATATATATCAAAATATAGCATTTCCATTAACCTATATGTTATAGTGACATAAAAAAAAATGAAAATTGGAAATTAATTGAAATGTTAATTGAAAGAATTGTTTCTTACCAAATGCTAATTTTGCATTCACTAATGCGTCACTGATCGAATGAATTTCTCTCGTGGCTTTTCGCATTTTTTTACAAAACGTGTCTTCGTCTTTGTTTGTCATTTTCGTGAGATCCGTGATGATTAACAGTGCAATATAATTGAACCCAATCTATCGTGTCATTTTATTTTTAATCTGTTAATCTATTTACTTAAGATGCTGTATAATTGTGGTATTAAATATGTACAGCATCATTTCACGTCTAACACAACACAACACACACACGTGAATAGTGTGCAATCATATGATCGTACCGAGACTTGCAATTAAACGCAAGATGGCATTGTGTTCGTCAAAAAAGGGCAAGGGAAACGGTACAGAACCATTAAAGTCATTTGATATATTGATCACGTAGGAGAGATTGTTCAAAATTTTATGCGCTCGTAGAATATTCGTCACTCCGCAAGAATGAAAAAGATATACGTATTTAATGTATGTGATTTTAATTTTCTAATCTCTATTTTCTTAACATTTAAATTGATTATTCTTCTGTCATTGCCACTATGATTTTTAATTTTCCGGTTATTTCCGCGCTTATTAACTGTTCGGCGAAGGTGATATTACACGAAATTATCACGAAAGAAAAATTAATTTCAATAAAACATAGGATATAAACCACATTTTTCAATTATTTCTGCTCTTGTCTTTATCCTAGTTCATAAACTATTAGGTACGTTTAATAAATTATCATGTGTTTTAGGTTCGCTGAGAAAAAAAAAAGAAGTATCTGAGGAGAGACAGAATAGTTTTTCTAGAAGTAATTTATTTCTATGTGAAGGACGATAAATTTGACAAGTAATGAACGAGACAAATAGACGATAAAAAAATCTTATAAAGACACGACATACTGTTTGCAGTAGTTGGCAGTTCTTCCTGCAGATACGTGGATTTTCTATGGCATTGGTATACAGTCTGTGTATATTGTAAGTGGCTGCGGTATTCGGCTAGTCAGATCGATGAGACGCCGTCGTTGTGGCGCCTCGTGAACGCCCAGCCCTGCTGTCTTGGCTAAATTTGCGATTTTGGATTCATGTTTTTTTTCATATATATTTTTGTATAACGTTAACAGAGGTTGTATTCTAAACGATGATAATAATCTTTCTAAATTGTAGAACACTGAGCAACGAGAATGGCAGTTACATAATTGTCCCTTCTGGTCATTAATGTTCGATTGGCTTATGAAAAATTTAATTACAATGTTACCAAAGACTAACGAATGCTTTACAAAATCTTAGTAATTTACATTTTTGCCTGGTGCAACTAGAATGCAAGCGGTAGACAATTAAAGGAGAATCTATTAATGTTCGTTGTGCAGACGGTACAAGAGGTAAACGTGCTTTATCGCCGGAGAAAAATTCGAAATCTTGAAAAGGAGGCCACCGACGCCTATAGCTGTTGAAAGTATCGCATCACTGACTATAATATAGGAGACGCCAAGTGTAAAATAATTCGAACGATGTAATAATGATGCCGATGCAAATGTTAAGGTACTTAATAAGCACACGTGCACACGCATATTACTGAACGGTTTCTGAACGAAGGCGCTTAGTGTTTTATCACGCTTCGCTAAGTTTTTAGTCACGGACTCTTTAATTAGTATTTTAATTGCTATAAAATCGAATAGAAATTTTAGGTACGTATCTTTATATGGGACTCTACTTTAAAACATATATATTGTTTTTAATTTTTAGTTATTGCCATTAAATCGTTCATTTTTTTTGATAAACATATTTAAGTTAAATATCTGATAATTTCATTTTGTTATTTTTTTTTTTGTAATTTTTAGGTGCAACATTATGTTCATTAAAATACGTGGGTATGTTTCGAAAAATGGAGACTTTTGAGAAAGATGGATTTTCAATTGATTTACACGTATGTACGTCGTTGGAGTAGATGTCGTAAATTGAATCGAATGCAGATATCGTGTACGTCGAAACGTCATATGTGTCGTCGCGATGTCTCGCGTGTGAACGCATTTACCTACGTCACTGCATGGAGGGACGTAGAATAAGTGCGGAACGTAGGGCGCATCGTCATTACGACAAGAGACAGTATCCGACTCGAAGAGATGCTATATTTTGGCTTCTGATATTCTCAACACGGTTAGTAAGGGGTGCCGCTCAATACTAGCGCCGCGTACTATGGCCAGCACTGTAAAACTTCTGACTCGTACCCTGATCACGCTCGAATTCTATTCGATATTATATTTTGACATGAAAACATTATGAATGCTAGAAGCATTTAATAAGAAGAGAAAATAACAATGTCCTACTAATATTTCGTAATACTAATTGTGATGCACGATAATCCTTCTCTTAGTAACGCACTGCGCGACTATTTTTTTTCTCTTTTTTTATAAATGAAATAAGCATGTATTACATTGTGTTTATACAGATAAACTCGTGTGTATGTACATACATTTGTATATTGTAATTATATATTTAATAATGTGAGAAAAAAGAGAAAGAAAGAAAAAAAATAGAAATACTTTTCAATTAAAAAATGAAAGCGAAAAATTTGAAGGATTAGAAAGGAGTGTATGTAAGTAATTTTGAAATATTGATATTCACAAAGTTGAAACAGAAACGTATCATTAATCGGGTACAATATTTCATAGGTACAGGGTTGAAGATTGTGAGATGCAATGCGGCAATCGAAGACGGCCAATGAATCGATGTATTGACCGTGCGATCAACAAATTTTAATTACATGATGCCGTTCGTTTCCAATTTTCTTATTTTAATCGATTTAAAATTGCCGAATAAATGCAAATAATTGTTTAACTTTATACGAACTAAATGCTGGATGTTATAAAATTATTATATATTTATATATATTTCAATTAGTAGAAAATTGCAAATTTTTTAAAGTTTGACAAGTAAATAAACGTAACTGACCAAGCAACAGAACTTACATCTGCAGTTGTAGCTATATGCTCATACATCTGTATGTGGCTAAAGCAGTTTCATTACGTAATTGATAACATAACTGTTTGTAAAATATCTGTTATTTCTCAAAATATATCTATTTCAGATTTATCTGAATGTTTAATTGGAAATTTTCTCGAGACTTGATGAAAATTTAATTAAAAATTGTATCTATTTTGTACAAAGTTTATATTAATAAGGAGAAAAGGGAGAAAATGAAGTTGGCACAGATAATGCAAAGATGCCTGAGAAATTTGGAAAAAACTGCATATGGTAGATTGTTGATTCGATGGAATTATTTCAACGGAAGAATTTATTGATCCTGTGTCGAACCGATGATATAATTATCTGCTCCAACTGTTGAAGTTTACTTTAGTTTATCTTTAGCCAGAAATTAATAGGAAATAGAAATCAATTATTCTAATTTAGGAACAATTAAACAACAGGTAACATTCATTTAATTTAATTAATTTCATATTAGATTGAAAATTTTCCAAGAGTTATTTATTAACAAATCTCTAAATTTATATATATTCATTTATTTGCAATGAAGAAATTTTCAATTCTCTTTTTTATTAGGTCTCGTCTTAATGATATAGAATGAACGATAAAGTAAGGCAATGAGAATTACAGCAACAGATTCTCCCTGCAGTGCGACAAATAGTACATGTGGCAGTCATCAAGTATGATATATGTTCTGGCATCATTGCATGTTTGTTTTCACGAAAATAATAAGTATAACATTCGTATATAGTCATGTACAGTGACCACATGCTACAAAAATGAGTCAATTAAATACTTGCAGTATCTAGTTCAATTTGAATAAAGATCTAAAAAGAAGAAGGATCAATGTTATAAAGTGCCATTACAAGTGTCATTTCTTTCTTACGTGAGATTTAAACGCGGTAAGAATAATTTTCAAAACATTTGAATATTTTCAGTAATAAAACACGAATTTACACTTACAATAATCGTTGTTTATTTTAACAGGCGTTTGGTCGTTTTATATAATTAGTGCTACGGAAGCAAATAACAGATAAGAAAAGGTTCTTTAATTTCTCATGGTATGCCGGCCGGCGGAATGGCAGACAGATGCATCGCGTGCCTTCTTAGCCGGTCATTATTTCACCTGGTAACATTCTCTCTTAAATAACCGCACTCGTACTGCGGAGTACGAACAACGTTGACCTCTAAGTTTCGGGTAATACTTTCCCGATTTTCCTTGATTTCCGGTGCCGGGAGTCCTTTCCCTCGATACCGGCGTTTTCCGACATCGTGCCGGCCGGCTTGCCGGTCGTGTCAGTCAGTCACACACGTACAAACATTACACGTACGTCTGCACACATGTGCAAACGTGGAACTAAAAGTGGTACGACGTCGTACCTCTGGCTGGTCGAGTATGTGACATATCGTGTGAGTGTGTATATAGCATGGTGCCCGTTATACACCTAAATGGGCCTACATTGCGACGTTTCCGATGCTGTGGAGATGTTGTGTCTGTGTAGGTATGTACGTGTATGTGCGTATGTGAAAACCGAATGACTAGACGTTACGGATAGTCTGGACTGCGCGAACTAAAGCAGCCGAGCCAACGCGCATCGCTAGTGGGGATACCGGAACAATCTTCGTAGAGGGGGTGGTCTTTGCATGGTAGCGGTAAAGGGTATCGCAGTCTGTTAGAGAGCCGGCAGCCCGCAACGCGAGAGTTGCTGCCGAGTCAATTCGAGTTTGAAATATCGTTTGGAACAGACAGGGAGAAGAGACATTCGTGAATTCGTAGTAAAAGAAAAGAAAAAGAAAGAAAAGAAGGAACTCGGAAACGACGGAATCGTTATTAACCCCCTATCTCTCCAGATAAAGAAGGGACACGCATCGTCTTGGTCTTGGTCTTCGTTCCGATCTACGTTTAGTGTCGCTGTGTCCCACAACGGTTCTCGCACCCCTTTTACCACCGTATTCGCGAACAGCTCGATCTCCTGTCGCTCTCCACTTGCCTCTATTTTACTAAACTCCTGTCTCTCCCTTCTCTCTTTCTTTTCTCTTCTCTTTTTTTTTCCCTCTTTCTTTTTTTTTGAGAAACGCACCGTCGGCCACCAAAGAAACGGGGAAATCGAATCTGCACTTTTTCACGGGACAGACTGTTTTCGACTGTTCCCTCGACGGATATATTATTCTCGTCCCGAAAAAACGCTACCTACGTCTTCTCCGGTGGAAAGAACACCGTTTCTTGGATTATATACCGTATATCGAAAGATCGAACAATTAAAACTGGATAATCGTGTCACGTAACGAGGTAAGCTGATGAAATATAATTACGAAGTTTCTTGGTGCAAGCGTTAATAGGTTAACAAACGAGATTATTCGGTGATTCGAATTTCACGAAACTTTTGATAACATTCTGGTGAACTATGTATAGATTTTATCGGCCGGCTAGGTGGACTGCGGGAGGGGTTGTTACTAAGGGGTAGACTGCAGTGCCGATACTCACTAGGGTGTCCGTTTCTTATTCCAATGTTGTGGAGTAAAGTGTTACATATTGTGCTGAGTATGACAACGTGACACGAGGTGTTCTACTTTCTTTTTTCTTTTTTTTCTTTTTTCTCCGTATTTCTTGCACTTTTTCCACTAAGTACATCGACCATGGTAAATGTTGTAATTTTGATCGCAGTTACCATTGATTGTTTAACACCGATTCGTGCCTTTTCGTAGTTACAGTTTTCCATTAAGAAATCAATCGTTTTATCGAAATTTCCTATTAAGAATAGGTGTTTAATGGCCTGTTTTTGTAGTTAGCTAGCCCGAATTTGGATCAATGATCTAAGGTCGGTTCTCACGGAGAAGCTCGGATCCTGCGCATTCGACGATAGGACATAGCCCTACCGCTTTTCAGGGAAAGGGTCGTGCAAATCCTGCGCAATACTTAACGCCAACACGGTCCGCATGAAATCGCGGTGTGTCGACGCGGTGACCTTTTCATAAAATCTCTTCGAAATTTTCTTGCTTCGGTAAGGGTTCACTCTAAAATGCCCATCCACGTTTGCACGAAGTTCGATGGACATTCTCAGTCGCTTTTTTTTATTTCTTCATTTCCTCGCGCAATTAAGACAATTAATTTGCATTAAATGAAAATGCGAAAATTCAAGTAATTCTCGTTTCATCTGAAAAGATTTTTTTTTTTCACTGGCATGCTCATATTCTAACTGTGTCATTGGAGATACAGATAGAGCTAGAATCGAATATATAAAAGAGAACAAATTGCATTCGATACTACTGTATGTGAGAATGATCAATATTTTTTTTTTGTTTCAAGCTTTTTGTTTTTATATATGCGTAGCATACATGTACGAAATGCACGTATGGTGTTAAACTACCGATCATCAATCATGGTATAGCTGCCATACATGAGAGTGGTATGACAGTGGTATGGGTCAGCTCTAGTATGATGTCATAACATGTCAGATGTCATATATGGTTAACTGTTAGTGAAAAGGGACAGCCAATCGGTTGTAGATAGATTACCAATTATTGATAGGGAATCATATTCGTCTAAGGCTAATTACTAAGTATATTAATTGTCAAGTACATTTATACTCATTAGTCTAATTAGTAGTGGCTGCTAGTCAATTACTTTATTAAGTAATCTTAGAAGAATGAAGTTTTTTTCTTTCTTTTTTATTTAATTTGACTCTATAATTTTGTTCTAGCAATGAGTACCACGGATCCTGCTGGAGAGGGTGGAGGGGGAGGGGTGTCAAGCACAATATCACCAAATATTGAACAAAACGTATCTCCAGTTATACCGGTGACCGGTGGTGTGGTGCAACCGGGCTCTCAACAACAGCATCCACCACCGTCGCCACTAAGTGGTTGTTACCTTCTCGTTGTGCTTCCAGAGCCTCATACCGCGCAGCATAAAGATCTCATCTTAAACCGCCTTGCAAAAGGTAAGCGCGACTTGATTAAAGCACTGATCATCGTAATATAATACGATGATCCTCGAGAAATTCTCTCCAGAACATCTAGACGCACCCTCGGTAGTAATTTTAGTATCAGTTAACACGTTTCGTCACTTGGCTCTGTGATTTTACATTTTTATTTTCTTCGTTAGCGTTAATTGTCTTTGGAACATATAGATATCAGTTAATACATCAAGCTCGTAATAGATTTAATCATTTGGTTCTGTTGAGTTTAGATTTTTTATTTCTTTTGTTTATTGTACATGAGAATAGTGTTAATTCTCTTGATTGAATACGTTAATTCCACCCTTCAAGATCAATTAGCACATCAAAATTGAAGCACATTTCATTCTGTGATTTTGGATTCTTATTTTTTTCATTCTAATGTAGACAAGAAGACTATTAATCCTTCTCGAAGAACATCTGAATGCATCATTGAGATCAATTAACACATCAAAATTGAAATAAATTTCATTACCTAATTCTGTACTTTAAATTTAAATTATCTTAATTAGAACGAAGGAAGGGGAAAACCTTAACTAAGTAAAATAAATTTGTTCTGTCGAAATTTTAACGCCATCATTGATAATATTGGAATTGCATCTAGATGTTCTAAAGAGAATTAATTTTATTTTTATCTGGATTAGAACAAAGGAAAGACAAATATATAATCACCCTTCGTTTTAGTTGAAATAAAAATAATGTTAATTCTTCTTGAAGCATCCATGTATCAACCTTGGTATCAATTAACATATTATCAAACTGAAATAGACTTCATTATTCGATCCAGTGTGATTTCTGTCCTTTGTTTTAAATTAAATAAGAACAGTGCCTTCCATTAAGAGAAGGGATATAAAATGGGATATTGATACTTTGCGATTGAGGCAATAATTACGGTTTCATATACACATTTTGTGGTATTAGTTCCGCACATGAAGCCAAGCGGTAACGGTTCTTCTTCACTGTGCGTATTCCTTCCGATTTATCGGACGAGCTTACCCAACAACTTTATCCAGGTCCCCCTTGTTGCTAGGCGGAGTTCGAATGGACGTCGGTTAGTAAAGAAACCTCTTGTGATACCCCTGTTTAGTCATTAATTATTGGTTATCAACTTCCAAGAAGCATTAGGATCCCATTGTTATCCAAATTTGGCGAGTGATAGTTTAATTCCCTATTCCCCTATTGTTCGATCGAACTTTGGTATTACCTTTGGATCATGCTTTCACATATGAGAGTTGAGTCACACTTTTGACAGTAACTTTCTACTTTTTTTATTTTATTTTATTATTAAATGCGTCGTGCTATATAAATAATATTGTTAACAAAAAAATTCGTTAATTAATTTCTGCATTTCAAAAAATTTAGAAATCCATCTGACGCGCGAATTTTCATTAATGACGAAACATGTTATAAAATTTGCCAAGGGGAAAGTTACGTGAAGCAGAATTGAATTATTTACTAGCAGAATTAAATTGAATGTATCTTGGAAAGTTTAGAATATCCTTCTGATTATGAATATCCTTTCTTGTGTAATTTTGCTCTGTCGTGCAAATTTTCATTGATGATGAAACATGTCGGCGAGACATGTTGGTAACGTTGTAAAATTAACCTGTTATTCACGCGTGTAAAATAGATCGTGTATTAGTTGATTCAACCACAAGATTGTTGATTAACAGAATTAAAATTCAATTGGAGCAAATTCAATTGTCAGAAATTGCATGAAAAATGAGACGGTGCATGGAGAAGAGCGTGAGTTATGATGATTAAGAAATGGGTCGTCGATGTGTTGATTCGTCGTGACAGAAAATTAAGTAAAAGGCAAATGGAAAATAGCGGATGAAAGGAAAAATCTGTACTTGTGAGTTTGATGCGGTATGCGCATGTTAGACCAGCCTACAGCCACATCCCCGCAGTCACCAGAACCTGGATCAATAATCCATCTACACAGTATATAACGAAAATCGTCGCTAAACTATAATGATAATTTTTTCAAATCACTTTCGTGTTATTCGACGAGCAGTGGGTTGCATACGTGTATGCACAGACACACACAGAGGAGAAGAAAGGCAGTGAAAATTAGACTCGAGCGAGTGCACGCGATGCGTCGACTTTCGACAAAAGAGTTGCTGGAAAAGGGACAGATTAGACGATGAGGATAAAAGAGGCTGAATACATACGAAATAGTATAATTATCGTCGCTTGAAAATGTCTAGTTTTTACTACTCGTTACTATTTATTAATTTGACTTCTGGTGAGAAAAAGACAAAGCGACAAGAATTAATCAGATGTCGATGACATTGTGCTGTTTTAATAGCAGACGGTGTGATTTGAATATGCCAGAGGTTGTAATTCTTCAAAGATTATGAGAATTCTTCAGAGAGTATGAGAAAATAGTACTCGATCAAACATCTTAATTTTAATTTGATTGCTCTGTTATTAATCTTAAATTTAATCAGATTGTCCTGTTACACTATTATTTTCGTATTTTCTATATTCTGTGTGTTGAATCATATGGGTCATTTCGTATGCGATGGGTATGGTATGGTATATGCGTTAGCAAGTTTCATGTGACTCATGGGTTGTCCGTGTAGAGTGTAGACAGGAAGGATTGGTAGAGCGGAAAGAAGGCGAGACATGAATTTATCCATCTATTTATTTTGAGGTATCTGTAATATTGTCTGGTTTGCTGTTATTATTCAAAATTATGGATAAAACACAAATAAGTATGACATACACATTTAACATGCTAAAAACGTAAATCTTTTACCATACATAAAATACACATGAGGAAACTGTATGACTGTATTAAGATCTAAAGATAGTATAATTTAATATAAATTTCCAGAGAAGAATAACAATATTTAAAATATTAAAATATTAATGTCTACTAGTATCTAAAAATAGTGCAACACATTTCACGTGCTCGCATCATGCTAAACATCAGATTTTACTAAAATCGTGAAAAAATAGTATAATTCACCATAAACGATAGTGTTTAAAAAATAGTACCAATACAAATAAAAATAACCATGACGTATTCGCAACGTGTTGAAATATTGAATCAGATTTGATCAACAAATACACGGAGAAAAAATACGTATGACTACACTAATATTTAAAAATACTATCCGTGAGTTGCTATAAATACACGTAGGAAAGAGTATTAATATCTAAAAATAGCTACAGTTTACTGTAAATACACACAGAGATAGTAATAATAATATTTCAGAAACAGTAGCAACACTAGGACAACATCCTGATTAATAAATCGCGCATCTGCTTCAGAAAATTGACAACTCTCTATGGAGTGTGCAGTATGCGAATCGATGTACGCGAATATTTGCGTGAGTTAATAAACGGTAATATGCTCGTAAAAGATTAATGTGATAATGCCCCTTACGAGTACATGCACGCGCGTTGTATTTACAGATATTGCACGAGTAACCACACATACGTAAGATAGGAAGGCATACTTGTCGGTATGAATCATGATTGAGGACGTGGGGAGCATCGCGAAAGTTGAAGTTATTCGATGCTTGTAATATCCGGAAGAACTCGCGTATAGAGGGTTCCCGTTCGATCAAACGGCGAAAATTTACATACGCGATTTTTCAACCGTATTACGCTGTTTATTCAATTACAAGGAACGAAGCATGCACACGCATCTGTACTCGCATATGGTGGACTGAAAATCATAGTAGAACTTAGTCAAGTGGCTATAATTTTGCAGTGACTGTATGATATTTATGATATTATGATATTTATGATAGTTACATGGTACTTGTATGTGTATATAGTGTCTATTTATATGTATACTTTTAGATTAATTAGCTCCAAATATTATGCAGTATATTATGTAGTATTGAATTTTATAGTCTAGTAATTCTCTTCTATTGGAACAAAAATTTGATACCATGAAAATTGGAAACAATCGTGTAAATGTTATATTTTTTATATTATGGGAAGTATCGTTTCTTTAGTTTATAATTAGACTGCTGTTATAATTTTTTATATTATAACTTTTATGTATTTATAAGAAATTTGGAACTGTAAAAAGGTACAGAGCTATGATATGTATTATAACATGTAACTCCAAGTGTTACATGTTAAATTTTATATCATTTAGCTATGCTATTACACATACTGTTATAAAAGTTTGATACTGGAAATAGTTGTGCAGATACTTTTTTCTTTATCTTTATAATTAATTAAATCATAAATTATACTATATTATTATCTCAAGAAGAGTGATATTTAAATTTGAAATTAATTAACTTATAGTTAGGCAGCCAATTTTTATTTTACTTCTGGAAAATTTGACACCTTGAAAGTGTATGGAATGCGCGCAATATAAAAAAAAAGATATATAAAATTTAAATTACGGTACTCATTATAATATTTAATGAGCGAAACAAATCGCCGCTTAGGTTCTATTCCCATAGCTAAGCTCGTCAAAATTTAAATTTATATAAACATCCACGTGGTGGATCTAATTATAACTTTATATTCCACCATGGTACGTTTTCATGGCTTGAAAAGAACATAATGAATTTCTTTCAATAATAAAACTAAAGTAACAATGAATTAACTTGACATCACTATGATTCTCAGTCGTACACGCGTAATCGTTTCACAATTTTTAATTACGGTGATTTTTAATTACGACGATTTTGATTCCAGTAATGATAAATAATATTCACAATTTCTTTAAACAGTTAAACTCGCACGTTAATGCCGTGTGAAGACACGGCAGAGAGGATTTTCAATTTCTCGATAACGCGGCACGTATTGTCGACAGCTTATAATAAAGGATTTATCGAGCATCGAAAGTGCATCGAAGTATTGATTTCCAAGAATATTCACGACAGCCGACATTTAGACACAAGGGTGATGTTCCGCGAATTTTCAGAAACTCTTTTTTCAGACGACTTCTTACAATCTCGTCGTACGTGCAACTGAATATAGTATGTCTAATTTTATCGCGGCAT